GCCCGAACCAAGATAAATTCCTAAAATTTAGATTTTTGGCTTGGTGAGGCGGCCAGGGCTGGGATCTCACTCGCAGGGGAAGCATGGCCCTCAGAAAAGGCGGTACCCGAAACAAACATGAATTAACATGGAACGTGACAGGGACCCGGTCCCTTGAAAAGGACAAATTGTCCAAACCAGGACCCCCTCAATTGGTCAGGTTCCGTCCATTAATTGGCAAATGCTCCCTATGTTTCTTCATGTTCCTGGCCAAGGGCCTAAAATGTGTCTTTTTCCTGGGTCAAGGGGCTACAATATTTTCCACCACGAATTGTTGCACTCTTTCATGCAGGCGCCATGGACAAAGCGGCGCCTGTGTTTGGCATTCAAGTGATTCAAGGGTACCCCTGCCAAAAAAACAAGGAAAACAAGGCGTCTCGGCTTGGCAGTATTCTGGCACTTTCCTATCCCATAACATGTTGTATGTCCTATGTAATCCTCGGCCGTCTCCTATGCCCTAGTCTAGGTCCTATCTCCTGCCAGTATCTCCTACTCACTTCCGATCGAGTGGCTCGGCCAAAAAAAGTACCCAACCTCTCTTCTTTTGCCACGAAAATTCTCAAAACCCAACAAATCTGGGCTGCCCTCAGATCCCTCGCTAAAAGTTTAACTACCACTAAACACTAAAGGCCAAGACACTAACTAACCGGATGGCTAGCAAGGAATGAGGGACTTCCAGTCAAACTCAGGTGAGCAAAAAACAAAACAAAAACTGGCAAGAACGCCACTCCCGGTGAAAAAACAACAACAAAAAACGCCATAAAACGCCTCCCCCTGACCGTCCGGCCCGCGGTTTCGTTTCCGCTCCATCGCCACCAAAACAAACCACCCGCCCCGGCCGCGTTTTTCCGTCGACTTTCCGCGCCTTGCGTCCCAGGTGCTGGGCGCCGTTGAAGGCCACCACGGCGCCCTCCTGAGCGAGCTGAGCTGCGCCAGGGCCAAATGCCGAGGATGTACCGCCCCATTTGGTTTTTCGGCCCAAATGGAAAAGAGGAGAACATATGTCCAGTAGTGAATCGATTCCTCTTAAAACCAGCTTTTGGGGAAAAAAGGAACATATTCATTTCAGCAAATGGAGGAGTTGGATCAAAGAAAGACTGGTTTTCCAAACAAACCCGCTGAAACACTAGGGTGGTATACCTAATCGGTCACTAGATAACTGATAGATGTCTCAGGTAGAAACAGGGATTTGCTTTTTTCTTCCATTTACACCAGCCTGAGCAGAGTCTAAGTGTGTGTTTCCTCTGTTTCCTTTTTTTTGGCCGCGGCATGCCAACTTTTAGAGGGAATGATCCACCGACCCATCCTTCCAAGAGGCAAACCCCAAACGGTTCACTGCCATTGTGCCCGTTGATTCCCTATAAACCCTCCGAATGAGCCAACCGGACTTTGCACACATCCTCTACCACCGCAACTGCAGGGCAAAAAAACGCTGCCTTGACGATGTCCACCGTGTCGAGGACTCCATCCTTGAGCACCCCGGCACCTCCGAGAGTCAGAAAAAAAGGCGGCTGGCGGGCAAAGTTGGATGGTTTTCCCTCTGCTTAAACCCCCATGGCCAGTTTCAAGTGAAACGTTACGCGCCGTTCCCTGCAAACTAAACACACAACTATATAAATGTCTTGCCTTTGGAAACAAAAACCTTCAAACACAAGAGGGAGGGAGAGAGAGAGAGAGAGAGAGAGAGAGAGAGAGAGATATAGAGTGGCTCGGCCCTTCGAGAAAAGGCGAGAGGAGAACCGCCCGTTTTGGAAGTGCCCAAAATATGTTAGTGGGGTTACCCTCAGGTAGAATTTGTCTTTGCTTGAGGTAGAAAGGTTTGAAAAGGACCAAAACCATGGTAAGGGCAATGTGGCGTGTCTAAATTTTGGAAAATGATAGATGCCACCATCCCTATAGCCTATACCTCCTTTGTCAGTTTGAAGGGGGTCCCTTTGTCATCTCTCACGGTAAGTGGCAAACAGCGTTTCCTGAAACCAGGCATTTTGAAAGCGAATCAACATGATAAGTGAAACCAGCTCGTGTGTTCCAACTGGGTCCTGCACAACCCGGGCCGGGCGGTACTCCTTTCCGTACCCCAAGTGGCACAAGCCAAACACAACATGCCCACGGAAACTTAAAACTGGTGCTGCCGGATGTCGGCAGAAAGCCCCAAGGCACAAAATTATCCCATCCTGTCTAGAACCTGACACTTCACGATCCCCAGTCGTCGCTGTTTGACTGTAAGTCTTGAATCCGGGTTACACCTTCTCCGTCCAACCCAAGCCCCCCTGCAAAAAGTGAACACCTTTTCGATTGTTTAGTGGAAAACCCAACTTGATTTCAACCAACAAGTTGTTCAGTCTAAAGATCCATTGCCCAATAGCAGTCACGCCGTCCGCGCCTTTCTCGCGGACTTCCCCAACGGCGCGGCCGAACTCGTCCATGACCCAGGGCAAAGGCTTCTTCGGCGTGTCGTCCACGCTCAGGATGTCCACCAGCAGCTCCTCCCCGGTGTCCATTCCTCAAGTGAGAAAAAACAAGTAAAACGTGGCCGCGCGGCTTCTGAGAAGCACAGGGGCGCTTCTTTTTGGTTGAGGGGGTCCCCATGTTGTTGGGGACCAGCCATTTTCTACATACTTTGTTGGGGGGCCTATTTATTCTAAGACACACCTACGTGACCCTTGAGAAATATCTGCCACCATCAGTTCATGGATGGGAGGGGGAGGGGAGGGAGCCCAGAAAAGCCCTTATTAAGCCCTCATAGGCCTTATTTGGGCTCCCAAAACAACCTGGAAACATCCCAAAATCGCAGACGCGCAGGTCACCTTGTAACATCCAATAATGGAGGGTCTTGAGTCTTGCTTTCCAAGCCCTGTCCAGCCCTCTCAACTAACACAGCTTACCAGGAACTCGTGTGGAAAAATACAACTGCCCAAACGATCCATATAGAAAAGGTCGACCTTTTAGGGGCCATGGCTCCAAACATGAAACAGCACAAGAATACCAGGTCGGTGTTGAACTGATTCTGGTATTGATTTGGCACAAGCTCCCGGGAGCTTGAACTTGGCCCTCCTTTGCTTCCAAAGGAAAAAGGACATTTCACTTGGCCAAACAGGATTCCATCCATTTCCCTCCTTGAAAAAGTGCAGCCTCAATGGTCACCAATACATTTGCAGCTTCTGAAGAGGAAATCCAGTGACCCCTCCCAAAGGACCCGCAAAAAAAGTTTCACCCCATTGGAACCTTGATCAGGCAGAAGCCCAATTCTGAAATCACGAAGATACTCCGAGAGTACGAACTGTGCGCCTGGACACTTGCCCAAGCATAAACTGGGGTGGGGGGTGGAGTGGGGCAGAATTCGTTGCTTTTAAACAAACATATCTCAAGGGGTAGCTGCCCCATCTCTTCCCAAACCTTGATGAAGGGATCCTTTACAGGATCTTCATGGGGCGAGCTCATTCAACCCCCCCCCTCCCAAATCTGCCCACCCGATCTGCGAGCTCGCAACCGCCCACCAATTGGACCTATTAAGCAAAAGGTCTTAGGCCTCAAAAAGTGCCTTCTTCAGGCCCAAGCTGCTAAGGCTGGCTTCCCGAGTGGATTGGCCCAAAAACTCGGGAGGTGAGTAGGGCACGTCTCGAGCGGTCCGGTCGGGTCTGGTCTGCCAGGCGGCGCATGACCCGTGCCCTGGGCGGGTCTGAGATGCTGTCCACGCCATGGACCTTGCCCATCACGCAGGGCTGGCCTCGGGGTCGCTAGGTCCCCCCACAGATCCCGGTTGGGTCGGTAGGGTACCCATTCATTAACGGGCGGCGATATAAGTGTGTATATATTTATATAGATACATGTATTTGCATATATGCATGTTATATAAATATAAACATAGGTGGCTTTGTATGTATGCATGTGCGCTTGCCCTTTTTAGAGTTGTTTTAAAGGGAACTTGAAGGAAACCACGCAACTTGTGGGTTCCCACATCTTAAGACATACTCATACAGGCTATATTGGCAAATCGGATCAGTGGGCTCCCGATCAAAGCTCCCCGGAAATTCGCGACAGGCGAGACCGACAGCTGGCAACGCCGTCGTGTTCCAGCTGACGTTCTGAGCAAAGCATCCGAGCAGCCGTTGGACAATGAGATGGGCACCTGGCCCGGTCGCAGCTCGGTGGTTTTGAACCACTTTAGGCCTCAAATCCAACGGCTCAGCGAATGTCAACTTCAAATTCATCCTTCCAGGAGCTCCAGCAACCCAATTTTGGGGCGCTCCAAAAGGCACATTAAACCCATGGTATCCGAGAATTGATCCTTGGGAGCATGCTAGTCAGTGGTTGTTGTTTCCCTTCTGCACTGGCCCGGTTCTCCCCAAGAAACAAAAGCCAACATGACAGCCCACGTTCCGTGCTTGCAAGAATTACCTTTGCACCTGCCATGAAAAGCTGACAGGACCCTGCGAACGGACAATGTCGAAAAGGGGAGGTCCCCCAAACCGCAATCTGTGATATCAAAGTTGGCGTCCCACTGGATCAGAAGCTGGGCCTTGTGCTTAAGTCCACTGGAAAACTTGAGAATATGACCAGTGACAGGTTCTCTTAAACACTGACAGGGACACTTTAAATACTCAGTTCATCTCAATTCAGCAAATGGAAGACCATGTCCCACGCCTAAAATTGGCTCATGGCATCCTTGCGAGGAATCCTCTGCTCAAGCGCCATGCTAAGCTTCACTCACAGCTGACAAATGAGCACCGCGTGAAATACATCCTCCTCCTACCTTCAAAAGATATAACATTGTAACACGGGAAGCCATGGACGGCAAGTCAGACCCAAAAAAGACCAAAACAGGGATCGAGGCTTACGCCGAAAAGTGAGTGCTCATGTGCAAGAAGGCCCGCGCCAGTCTGACCCGAATCTCCAGGAAGGGTCGCAACACCCAAGCATCAGCTTACCTCTTGGTGGTTTGGAGTTCCATTGGTGGTTTCCCATCGAGGCTCTACAGGAGCCAGTGGTTCCAATCCCACCAATGCAAGCCATTTCAGGGTTCGGTGAAACAAGTGCGCTTAAACCATCACCCTTCTGGCAAGGAGGGAAGCACAAATCAAGGGGTTGACCCACATCGGGGGCACTCAGACTCAGCAAATCATATTTTCCGACTATGCTTCATATTGGGTCTACCCTAAACGAAAAACACCCCAGACACCATCCTGTATACGTGGTTTCCTCTAAGGCATCCTTCGGTTGTAGTACAAACCCGTGCTGGGGCACATATTTTGTGACTAAGTATGTTTCATACTAACCAATCTCATAATTTTGGAGACCCCGGAAGCCATCCCTTCGGTTTCATTGAAGGCGGCATCCCTCCCTTCCTGCATGGATCGGAAAAAAAGGTACCCAAACCAAAAAAAATGGCCCAAAACCTCCCAAAAAGTCACTAAAGTCAGGAACTCCGGACATGTCAGCACATGAGGACTCCTCATCCTCCGGCAACCCGCTGTTTTTCAGTGACCCCTGTGGTCCGCCCCACAGCTCCGCTCTGCTGCTGTCTTTCCCCATGAGAGCCCTGAAGAACGAGTGATAATTCAAAATTGACAAACTTGCATCCGGAGAGTCGGACCCACCTGATATAAGAACAATGTTTGCTCATCCCTAGAGCAAACCCCTACTAGGTCCTCCAGTATAGAGAGGTGAGAATAAGGCTACCAATTTTTGTCTGTCTATTTTAGTAGGGGAACCCTCCCCCCCCAAAAAACAAGAAGAAAGTGCACTACTGGGGGGCCTAGCCTTGTAATGGGTCCCTATGCAAAACCAAGACGCCTCATCCCCGTGCTGCGGCAGCGGCAGCCCGGGCGGGCGCCGCAGGGTGGGCCGCTCCAGCGCCAGCAGCTGCGCGGTGCTGTCCACCAGGGCGCCGCCTCGGAAGGATTTTGCTTCGATTCGCCGCGAGCGTTTCGGCGGAGTCTTTGCGGGGGCGCGGGGCCATCAACCAAGAACCATGGGTTCAAATCCATACAATCCATATCCAAACCTACTCGCTTCCGATCGAGTGGACTGGCCAAAAAGAGTCCAGACTTCCAGTTTGCCACCGAAATGGTCATTTGCGTGGGTTTGCGCCCTGGACAATCCCCACGTTTTAATGTCTGCCACGAAAGGGTCCAAACCCCAAATTTGTGACTCAAGCCCAGGAACTCAGGAAGTGAGATAGAGGCATCGTCTTTCTCGAGGGCACTTTTGTTGGGCTTGGCTCAACCCAGGCCTCGGAAGAGGGCGCAACCGACTCGGAACGCTGGACCTAAAACACACCAGGCTCCCAAAGCCCCGAAGCCACGAAGCCAGCAACCCAAGATCGCCATGCTGGGGGGAAGGGGAGGACAAGGAACCCGGCCCAAAACCAAGCACCAACACACAAACTCCAAGCAAGCACCAAAAAGAAACAGCTCCACAAAAGCACGCCAACAAACACACAGAAAACAAGAGACACTCAACACCCACCCACCCCCACCAATCCGACCCCATGCTTTTCCCCCCCAGGCTTCCTGCGTCCTGGATGAGGTCCACGGCATCCAAGCTGGCGTCCTTGAAGGCGCCCCAGGCGCCCTTCTCGCGGAAGTCCTCCAAGGTGCCGTTGATCTCCTCCCGCAGCACGTTCCAAAAGTAGGCCATCCTTGTCGGGTGAGGCAAGGATGGCTCCATATCACTTGACGTGTTTGACAGAACCTCACTTCCTCGAGGATGGTAACACCCCCTCAAAGAGAAGCTCAGCTCAAAGCGACCCAAATAGTTGTGTCTAAACTGCCAGAGGGAAATACTATGACATACTGTGGATGGTTGCGAAATCCTCTTAGGCACCGTTCAGAAACAATAGAATTATATGATCCCCTGTAAATACCAACAAACAACGGTTTCCCACGCTGTGTTGGGTGGTGCGAAATGAATCTTGTCCATCCACAGTATCACCTCTCCTATCCTCACTTCCCGAGTGGATTGGTCCAGACTGTTTATTTACCACAACCATATTTTTCCCAATAGTCCAGGAACTCCAAAAGTGAGTATCATGTATGTATGCCTGTACGTATGTATGCATATACGTACGTAAACACATTCATGGGGTCAAGAAGCAGTCCACCAGAAGGCTAAAAACTTGCCGCCCAAAAGTAATGCTTGAAACGACAACACTAGGGAACCCTGGGATATATCTATGGACCTGGTTTGATTCTCCCGCCTCCTGCGCAGCGACGGGGCGTCGCTCAATCGAGATGTGTAGTCGGGACGACTGATCTGAGCACTAAGCGGCTCTGTCGCGGCTCACGGGCTCACGGGCTCACGGGCTCACGGGACGGAACCGACGAACTTTGGTATTGAATCAAAAGGAGCCCAGCCCAGCGGAAAATAAATGGGGCGGGCCTCTCTCTCCTTCCACATTTGGCCCGGTTCTATTGGCTTGCCCCTCTTCCGTTTTGAAAGAAATACTTGGCAAATTATACCAACTCACAGGCAAAAAAAAAACACAAGAAAGGAACCTTCACGCGTCCTGCTTTTGTTCCCCTCACCAGAATACACGGAACCCCTACCAGTCACAAGGTTTCTACACAACAGGGTATGCGTTTGGAGCCCTGACATGGGCTGACACAGGAAAACAAAATGTCAGATGCGGCCGGTTCCCCCCGACACCATTTCGAGAGGTCCACCCAGATTTTTACCCGCTCGCAAATCCTGAGCAAGCATATGCTTGCCAATCATGTTGCTTTACCGACCTGAAAGCAGGAGGCCCTAAGATGCCCTGAGGGACCTTCATCATTCTAGGGGTACCTTCCCCATTCTTTCCAGGGATCCTTCTTTCTAGAAAACCTCCGGACACCCAGGGAAAATAGCTGGCTTTTGAAAAGAACGATGGTTGAAAAGAATGGAAAAGGAATCAACCTCTAATCATAAGTGATCTCGTTTTAAATTTCCCGCCGTGGTCGCCATAGCAAGCCGGGTGGATCAGGCGGCATTGAGAATCCTAATCCCTGAAAAATGGCCCCACTACTAACTCTACCGAAGGCACCCCCGCCAAGTGGCAGGTTGAGGGGAAACCATTCAGGCTTCTGAAATAGCTCCAAAATAAGGACCCCTGTGCTGGCACCCGGCGTTGAACAACCCAAAGTGCAAATCAATCCGGGCACCCGGCTGCTTCCACAACTGCTGGGCCTCAGCTCCCATCGCGAGTGGCTGGTTCTGCTGTCACCTGGAAGCGAATCTGAACCAGTGCCACCTATTGTTTAACCAAAACAAAGACACCTCGAGTTGCCAGAAAAAAGTCGGAGCGGACAAATGCAGCCGGCCACGGCCAATGCTCATTGGCTGAGTGGATGGCCCAACCAAAGTCCAAACTTTATATTGACCACACAATTGGCCATCCCCAAAAGTTTAAAGTTCATGAACCACATTTTATGCTGCACCTTAAAATGAGCCCCCCAACGGGCCCACACCTAGGCATCCCGGCGGTGTCTGGAACCCTTCCACCTCCGGGATCTCCTCAGTCTTCACCTCGGGCCTGGGCGAAACCCTCGTTGCTCCGATGGGGACACCCAAGGGAAAAACATCGGCTGCCCTCAGAACCCCCGCAAAAAGCTTAACTTTGAGTGGGCGAAATGGAAAACCCCACTAAAGACTAAGAAGCTAAAGGCTCCACCAAGAAACCAAAGGAAGCTGTAGCAAGCTTCTACCCCCAGCTCGTGGATTGCTCCTTGCTTTCGGAGGCGGAAGCCAAGCCAAAGTTCTTGACGTGGGCATCTTTTACAGCCGGAAACGCGGCCAATTTTCATCCCCAGCTTGCGATTTGATCATCCTTTCGGGGCTCGCAGCAACCCCTGCCTGTTTCCCACACGCAGCAGCGAACGAAACAGAATATATGAGTTCTTGCCCGCGGAAACGGAACATGGACGCTCTTGAAACAATGGCGTTCATTTGCTCAAGCCACCTGGCAAAAATACGTTTCCAGTAGTGATAGATTGATTCTCTTTAAAACCGCCGAGAAAAAAATACAACATATTAAGCAACTGGAAGATGGTGTTTTCCCTCTGCAAGGACCTGGGTGTTTGCGGAGAAAATTTGAGGAATCCTGCCTCGGAACCTGACGGAATGGATCCAGACAAACCGCCGGCCGAGCGCGGGACGCATTGAGAAGGGGAAGCTCATCGATCTTGGCACCTGCATGTCCCAAACACATGTCAGTCAAACGGCTTGGAGTCAAACGGACTGAAAGCCAAAGGTGTATTCTTCCTGATGCATCCGGAATGGCTTACCAGTTCCCGGGAGCTTGTTGAGGCCCATATACAATTCCGTGATCCGAATCAAAAGGAGGCCGACCCCGATGGCACCAGCGCCGACTGCACGGACGTTCGGCATGGCGCGGTCGAAGTGCTGAAATCAGAGCGGCGTCTTATATAGAACGTGGACATCATTCACAAATTTCACACATTTGTACATGTATATATATATATATATATATATGTGTGTGTGTGTGTGGGTGTGGCTTTCTGTCTAGCATGTGCACCAAACATGTTCATGAACGATCACTGGCAAATACACCGCCATATCCATATGAGACGGGGGAGGGCATGCGCTCTGCCCGGGATGCGCGGCACATTGGCCTTTGAGCCCAGCCGATGTCAAACGGCTGCTCTCACCTGGGAGGCGTCCGTTGGGGAAGCCAGCCGCAGGTAGTGGTGCAGTCATCCCTTGTTGCTTGCCATAAACCTTTAGTCACAACGCACTAGAAGTCTTAGGACCAAGCATGCCTCAATCACTAGGAACTAGGAGTAAAAACAAAAACACTTGGTGTACGGCTGGGGGCCAAGCAAAGAGGATAGCCACATGGCCACATAGCCCACATAGCCCACGCAACGGCGTGACTGGCACCCAAGCAAAGAGTATAGCCACACAGCCACATAGCCCACGCAGCTCAACCGCGGGGCACGGTTCGCCGCTTTTTTGCCTCAGAAGACGAAGGCATGGGTCAAAGGTCCCGCGGAGGTCAGCTCAAAGCCTCGGAAGCGTCGCGCGTGAAGCGCGTTTGGGGAAATGGACGACGGCGGCTTTTGGCTGCGGAGCTTGAGGGCGAGATCACGGAGTTGCGGTGAGTGCGTCTGGTGGGTGAAGGAGGGGGGGAGCAGGAGGAGGGGGAGGGAAGGGGAGGGGGAGGGGGAGGGGGAGACGGGGAGGGGAGGGGAGACGGAAAGAGACGGGAAGGGAAGGGGGGGCGGGGAGCATTGAGAGTTGCTCCAAGAACCTGGTCGGCACAAGCGGAGAAACGAAACCAGCGGAAACTAGCCCAAGAGTATGACCAAAAGTTCATCTTGAAGGGACGCTATGAGGTGATATGAATATATCAGGCACTATTCCTGCTTCGGAATAAGGTAAACAACTCATAACCTGGAACTTTACAACCAATAACCCTCTTCTACCCCTTGTTGTTTGAGCATCAACCCTGCGAAACGTTGCTGGGCCGTGGCCGTTCCCAGAAGCCGCGAAACTGAGAATTGAGCTGTACCGCCATCTCAGGCACCTCTGCTACAAGCCCCCATCGCCTGAAACCTGTGTGAATCCAAGAAGGGGACAAATCCGTGTTCTTCCTTAAATCGGCTCTCCCCCTCCCTCCAAGAAGCAGGTGTGCTTTTCGCGTTCCCGTGTCTTGGCCCACATCACACAAACATTCTCTTCATACTCAGCCTAATCGAGGGGAGCTTCAATTCTGAGCCAATCAACATAGGCTAATAGCAAAGTACATGTACTTCCCCCCCAAACAACCAAACAAGTGATTGTTTGCCTTCTGTTGAAAAGCAACCTAAACATACACACACTTTCTCTTGCAAACTTCAACAGGTCCTAAAACATGGATTCTTCGAAGAACCTACCCTAAAATCAACCAAGACAGGTTCCGGAGGGGACCCAGAAATCAATGTAAATGCAAGGTCTACCCTAAAATTCAATGCAAATTCAGGGCAGTGGTTGTTGGGGTAGAATCCAGGACCAACCCCCCCGCAGTTGGCTTTCCCTTCAACCCGTTCACCTTCAGGAAAAATCCAAGGCCAGCACCCTGGCGGCCTCGAAACGGGATTTCCAAACCGCCCGATTTCGGTGGGAGCGGGGGGGGAGTGGAAACAGGGAACTTTCTCCTAAACCTGAACCCCCCCAACAACAAAAAAGGTGTATATGTTGTTTGTTTTTCATTTTAAGAGAAGACAACAGATCAAAACAAAAACAACACCTTCTGAAACAATGACTTCCTTTTGGCCTGGTGGACAAGGTGATATATGGGGGTGGTGCAAAACCTTCCTCCCGCGCACTGCCGCGCCCATTGTAAATCTACACACTAGTTGTCACTGCTTTTCAAAAAATGTTTTCAGTTACTGGCCCTTCCGCATCTCTTCCGCCGCCCTTGCGCGTCTCTTCCGCGCACACAGCGGGAAGCTCGTGCCACGTAAGCCTGGAAATTCGGAATACTAAACTGAATACATGTTTTTTAGCACGACGCCCATATGGCAGTTGATCAATATTCCTGTTTCCGGAAAACGCCATCTTCACGAGAAAAAAAGTTTCTTTCGCGAATCTTTCGCGACTCCATCGCCACGCCCTTTTGTTGCAGCGTGCGCTCTGGAGCCATTGTGGCTGCTGCAGTTGTGCTTGCAAACACGGTGGCCGCAGTTCACTTGCGTGCAGTACGTAGTGTCAAGTGCAGGCAGTCACCGTCATTCGCCCTTGCCACTTGCGGTTGCCGGCGATGTGCGGAACCTTGCAACAAGCCCCCTGGCCTTTCGCCAGTCTTTCGCGGATCTTTCGCGAAACTTGCTCCAAAATAGCCCAGCCAACGTTTTTGATTTGCACCAATCCCAACACAGGCAGGGAATCAATAATGCAAGTGTAGGTGCTGCGTATCTCCCTCTCTACAAGGGAGCGGGGTCTGCAAATATGTAAGTGCACAGGCAGGGCTCCAAGAATTCAACGCGGAATCTTTTGCGAAAAAATAAGTTTCTTTCGCGAACTCCATCGCCGATCTTTCGCGGAGGGATTTAAGCCAAGACGAATGGTCACCGAATACATAACTCCTTGCAAGGACCTTTTGATCAACCCCCATATGTAGATGAGCGGCTGTACCGGTTCCTGATCTTCCCCAGCCGCAGGTCCGAAATGGCTTTGCCAAAAACGCACCGGACTTCGCGGCCTTGGCTTTTGGCTTTTGGCCTTGGGCTGAGATCCTGGGGCCGTTGGAACGAGCCGTCAGCTTGCCGTCAGCTTGCAAGGCCCAGGTCAGCTTCCAGGACTTGAGGGCGGCACGGGCGGGGGAAGCCTCCAATGAGTCCAGGCGTCCATCCAACTCATGCGACCCAAGCACGGGACCTGCCCCAAGTGGGGAGAGGGGCGCAAGAGAGGTCAGTGGCCGGATTCCCGCCTCCGAAGGTTCCGGACACAACGGTCGGCAGGCGAGCGCCTTCTGGCAGGACCTGGGAACGGAGACGCGCAACCTCAAGGCCATTTTTCTTGCGGACTCTCCAGTATGATGAGTTGAATAATGTTAACTTGAGGGTAAATCAGGGGCTGTTCCCCATTTTTCCGGATTAGCATTAGCTGGCAAAAGCGAAACGTGCTCTTGATTCAAAGGACAACGCCTTTGCGAACATGGCTTGGTCAACGTTCAACCCTAAACCCAGGATGAATATAATAAATGTCCTTGTTCCTCGGATTGGACGGCAAAGATGAAAGATGGTAGCAAACGTTGACCAACATGATACTGCAAGGGGAAATGGCCAAAGACGAAGAGAAACACTACTTGCCTCCGGCAGGCTAACCCGACTGACAAAACGCTGGTGCCTGGTGGAGTCCCGAGCGGTGAGCTCGTCTGATAACATCCTGAATTGCCCAGATGTTTTGTCACACACACACACACCCGAACCGATCGATTCGTTTGCACAGAAGCCAAAAAAAACCAACGAACAGCATGTTGGACATAGTGAGCTTCCTGTTTTCCGAATGATTGCCTTGTGACTTGCGTTGAATCAACGGGGGCCGTTCCTTCCTCCCGTGCCCACGGCGAGCGGGCGCCGCTCCCCCAGCCTCCTCACGCGCCGAAGCGTCGGCGGCCTCGGCCTCGGGAAACGGAAGGAACGCCATGGGCCAAACGTTGAAATGGTGGGGTGGTGGGGGGGGGGGGTGGAGGTTGGGGGGTGGGTGGGGTGGGGGGTGGGGGGCAAAAAAGGGGGCGACAAAATTGGGGCGCCTCCTTTGGTTTCCTTCTCAAGGTGAGAAAAGGGCACCTGGCACCAAAGAAGCATTACACGCCAAAGGAAGGCCACCCACCAGAAAGATTCAATCCCTTGGATCAGAACCTTTTGGGGTTGTTGTTAACATTTCTTTTGGTGGGTGGGCGGGACGTAGTCGCCGAAGCGCCCCATTTCTCCAAGCAAACCCAAGAGGGCAACATCGTCTCTGTTGTTCCATTGTTTTTTCTTCCCCATGGGCGAAATGCGCAACCCCGCACAGGAACCAAACATTGGAGCCTGGACAGAAGCCACCAAGCCATATTTCCTTGCAAGTTGACATGGAACCCTTGCAAAGCCCCCCCCCAAAAAAAAAACACAAAAAACAAAACAAACAAAAACAACAACGGAGATCTCTCTGCAAGGAAATGCTTTCTACTCTTTCTAGGCATCACGCACATTTGGAGGGCCTGCGGCTTCCTGCCTACATTGGGGCGTTCCAAAAAGGAGGGCCTCTTTTGGCAACAAGGAGCAAGCCCCAACTTGTAGGGACTTTTGACAATCCGCATGGCAAGCCAGTTCCAACTGCAGAGTCATATTTGCACAACCCACCATTCTCAGGTAGAAGCTTCTGGCTTATCCAAGGACATTGAATGCGGATGATCAATGATGCAGTAAGCTTATGAATGAATACAATCGGCTTCGCTCTCATGTCTATTCCGTTCCTTTCTGAAATGTTTTGGGATGTGATAAGAATAGTGGATCAGTCTTCCTCACTCTCTATCCCTTCCTTGCAGGAGTGCACGATTCTGCTGTCCTCGCATCTTGACCAAGCATGAACTACAGAGTCCCACAGTCTCGATTCACTAATGTTGACCCCATATTAATCACTCATGATTCCTGTCATCCCGTCCTGTGTTAAAATGCCTGTGGGTCCTACAAAGAGATCTCAAACACGCAAGAAGTGAAGACAGAACGTTGATCACGTACTAATCAAACCCTGTTGATTCATGAGGGGTGCCTGGGTGTAGAAGGGAATCAAAAACCGTTGGAGGGAAACACCCAACCCCTATTTAATAAACTGGGATTGAATGATGTTGAGTTGAGCGGACGGGAGAATCCAGAGTGACTTGTCTACGAGAGGCGACGAAGTCAAAAGATCCAAGCAAATACTGTGGATGGACGAAATCCTGCACCACTTCGAAACCATGGGGAACCAGAATTTGTGAATATCTACAGGAGGATCATCATTTTAGGGTGTCTTAGGTGGTGCCTAAGAAGATTTTGTCCATCCACAGTAGGTCTCTCAAGAATCCAAAGCTAGACAAAGCGAATCTTTAAGGACCATCATGAGATCGTATCCCAGAAAAATAAGCTAGGTCCTCCAGATTTGAGAGGTTAGAACAAGTTGGTACCAACTTTTTTTTATGTAGTCTAGTTTCGTAGGGGGAACCCAAAACACCCAAAAAAGTTGGTAAAAGTTGGCACGATCCTGGGGGGACCTAGGTGATGGTATGTGTCGGTTTCCAAGTTATCCCTTTCAGGGCTGCCTCCCCCCCCTCGTTTTCAAGGGGGACCTAGTGAAGAGATCCCAAACACGCCAGAAGCACCATCAGCTCGTAGCCTGGACCTAGTAAGTGTTGGTGACCCTGTTTGGTGCCCGCCAACTTTCCAGAGCCCACCCGCCCGCCTTCTTCGGGGCTTCCCTTGGCAAGCAGCGGAAGCGGCGAGTAAAGCGAGCAACGCGGGAAGCTGGAGGCGTCCGGGCGTGGGGGGTGGGGTGCCTTGTGGTTGGCCTCTCCGAAGCCAGGTGGGTGTCGCTGCCCCTCCTGGGCCTGCCTGCGCTCCCCCAGCTAGTTGTTGAAGGCCCGAGCCTCCTCCAGTTCCCGGTAGTTGGTCAATCTAAACAGTGCGTATCATGGGGTGCGTTCGGGGAGGCCCTCAATGAACTCCTTTCATAAGGGTTCTTGGCGCCGCCCATCTGAGCCGAAAGGAAGCCTGGTTTGTGAGAGAAAATTCGGTTGCAGACATACTTGCCAACCGCAACCGTGTTCACAGCCGCAAGGCACAACATCAATGACACCTTATGCAGGCGACATGCAATGTCTGCTTGTTCGTGATACTCTTTGCTTCTTGGCTGAAAGAGGTTTGGAAAGCTAAACATCAGGTATCTCTTTTGGAGAATTGGACACGTTGAAATCTGTCTTTGGAAACGTCCATTGAGCGTGTCAATGGAAAAAAAGTTGCCAAAATTGGCCTGTCCTCAGACCACTGCGAAAAAGTCAACTTTTAGTGGTTCAGGAGAAACTACCACTCAATCACAAAAATACTAAATATTCAGCGCCCGGCCTTCGAGCAGGGGAAGGCCTGGGAACCAAATCCACTAAGCTGCAGTAAGTTTGTTGTTTTCTCTTTTTTTTCAAGTTACCAGGTTCCGATGATTCACTGCTGGCCGACATCTGGGAACAGAACATCATATCAGGTTCTGTCTCACATCCAGCCAACCCTTACAAAAAACATAGTGTTGGAGGAGACCCCAAATCAGGTTTCCCTTAATTGGTGGTGTGATTTGGAATTGAAACCCCTGGTTCTTGTAGAGTGTAGATGGGCCCTTCCCTTAACCACCAAACCACCAGGCTCCAAACCACCACTTAAAGGGGCAGGGTACTTAGTATGTGATTAGTAAGCTTGGTCTTAAGCCACTGAACGGAGACTAACCATGGCAAGTGGATAACCAGAATTACTAACCACTGACCTGACGTATCCTGCCCCTTTAACAAGGCTTGAGGTCAAAACTTGCACAGCTCAATCAAAGGCTGATCATTTAGGTCCATATATGAGCCCATGGCCATTTTGGACCCGTTGGTCTAGAAAACTCTGGGGATACCTTTCCCATCCTTTCCAGGGATCCTTCTTTCTAGAAAACCTCCAGAAACCCAGGGAAAACGGCTGGTTTTTGAAAAGAACTATGCTTGAAAAGAATGGAATCGGAATCAACCCCTAGAAAAAACGGTTTGGATGCGCCTTCTGTGGATTTTGCCTGTTGTCCCCCCTGTTGGTTTCCACCAGAAAGCCCCCGGCTTGGCAACGCAACCACGCGTTGCCACGGTCGCCACGGCTTCGCCGCGCCGATCTGGGGCCGTCGGCGGCGCCTCGGAGGATCGTTTCTCCAGCGCCTTGCTGTACTTCTTCACCTCGCCGTGGTTTCTTCTTTGGCCGCGGTCGGGTCCCGTTTCGGGCGTTTTTTTTTGAAGGGAAACCACCGGGGTAGGTTGTTTGTTTGTTTTATTGGAGGGGGGGGACCCCAAAATGGTGATTTTCCTTTTGGTTTCCCTTTAAACCCATCAAGAAATGGGGTTACCCTCAAAAACAGTCACACTCACAAAGAGATCGGCCAGTTTGCTCAGCAAACGAAAAAGAAATGTGGTTTGGAATGGTTTCCAGTGCCAGGGGCCTAAACCGAACCACCAGTCCAAAGCACCTACCGGTCCTTCCAGGAAGCCTGCTGCCTGCTAATTCTATTGCGAACCCGTACCACGCTTAACAAGGAAGCCGAGCAACAAACGTTTGCACGCAGTGGAAACCGACCTCAGTTCCTGACTTGTGCGATGAAACTTGGGCAGGTTGAACGGCTCCTACGACTTCATTTGGATGTCCAGCCTGTTGAGCCCTCCTATGAGCGTGCAAACGGGTGCTCAAAGTTTGGTGAAATCTCACTCGTGCACATCATGTGCTCAAACTGGATAGAAACAGAACCGGGAGGTTGCACAAAACATGGAGTTCCATGAGAGTTCCGTCGGAGGTCCATTTTGGAATTTTGCTGGATTTGCGTTGGAATGGTATTGGGAATTCGGCTGAATTGCTCTCACTTTTCTAGTTTGCGCCACTGTTTCGTGGGGCATTCAAAATGTCCATCAGAGGCGCATGGCATTGGAGTCTCCTATCCCTCAGGCAGGTTTTCAGAGCCTTCTAAATTACTTGCTGGTGCTCAGTAGCGAATGAGGGAATGAGGAAACCACCAGTTGGATCCCGACCTATCGAACCAGCAAGACGAAGAGCCGCGGCCTGTTGAAAAAGGGTCCTTCCGAACCTTTCCGGAGTGAGGGGGGGCCTTCGGCCCACAGTCCAGAATGAAAACTGCTTCTTTCCAAGAAGAATCCACCTGGACGGGCCAAACCCCAAAAGGAAAGCGTTTTGTCTTTCAAAGCTCTCCAATCGTCAGCTTCCATGATTGGAGGGTGCATGCC